ATCATACATACATTTATAAACGTCCCCCCATAAAGCCTTATGGGGTACGCTGTCACAACGTTCCAGCGAGAATCTAGCTGTATCATTCGTTCCCACATGAAGGATAATCAGTGGATTCTTTCCCGCTTCCGTTAGGATCCTCTTCAGCCTCAGGTCCACATCCCATATCTTAGCACCCAGCAGACAGCACACTCTTCTGTTCTCCGGATCAGCTCTAGTTACAGGCCTGTCTATTCTTCTCAGTAAGGAGTCCCCAATCACTTAGACCTGCCTTTTCCTGGTGACTGTGTGATTCTCCGGTCTATCCCCTGTTCCCTCTGGCTGCAAGTCCTCTCGATTCCTATTCACCCTTGCAGTCCTCCGCAACCCATCCTGTATCCTCTTGGGGCTCATGTTTGGTGGTGTTATCTCCACTGACTCTTCCCCTCTTTTTATAGGACTAGCTGCTCTTCTCTTCTTCCTTGCCCTCTCACCTTCAGCGACCACCTGCTGTGCCCCTTCTTCATTTTCCAACTCTGCAAACCTGTTTCTGAGCTCTATTTCTCCTTCACTAGCCTGTCTTTTCCTCTGCCTGGTTCTCTTAGTCACATGCGTCCACTGTCCACTTTCCTCACCCAGCAGTCTCCCCTCAGAGTTCTTTGGTCCTGCTTCCATCTGCAAGTCTGAGCTTTTCCATTCAGACTCCTCAGGTTTTTGCTCCATCATCCGCTCGAACCCCCTTCTAAACTCAACCAGAGTTTCCACCTGCATCTCCAATCCTTGGATCTTTTCTTCCATCAGCTCTATCAAGCAGCACTTCATGCGGACTAAACTCTTATCAGGTACCCCCTCCAGGATCATGTACATGCCGCAGGTTCCACATCCAGTCATCTTCATTGTGTCTTCCACTGCTTGGGTCACTACCATTGCTGCCTCTGTATCTGTCATAGCCTTCTTACCTAAATCCTATGAATCTGGGAAACACAAACCAAAACACCACCACCCACAGCACAACAAACCTCCAACAAGCACCAAAACACTGCTAGAACACTGCACCCTCCCTCCACCTTCACTAGCCTGTCTGATCCTCTGCCTGCCTCTGCATCTGAAGAAGTGAGGTTTTTACCCACGAAAGCTTATGCCCAAATAAATCTGTTAGTCTTTAAGGTGCCACCAGACTCCTTGTTGTTTTTGTAGATGCAGACTAACACGGCTACTCCCTGATACTTGCCTGCCTCTCTTAGTCTTCCCTCAAACTCCCCCTGCAAACTCCCACTCAAACTCCCCTGTTTACAGCTCTGTTTGCTGGCTCCTGTGCCAGTCCAGTGAGGCTTATGTATCTTGAAGAATGCCCCTGCCGGGTCTAGTTTACATAACCCAAAGGTGGAATATTACACAAACAGGCCTCCACCGCAGCATCCTCGCTGGATGGGGAAGGGGCTATGTAAATCTTAAGCGGATTTTATGGACTATGTCCAGGTCCTGTACCAGCGAGGCCCTCTGCACTCCGGAACTCTCTTCTGGAGCCAGGGTAGGGTCTCTCTCCTCTTGGGTCTAGGTCCCCCTAGAGGTCAAACCATAAACAAACTAGGGAAATGCAACCTAGATGGAGCTACTATAAGGTGGGTACAAAACTGGTTGGAAAACCATTCCCAGAGAATAGTTACCAGTGGTTCACAGCCATGCTGGAAGGGCGTAACGAGTGGGGTCCTGCAGGGATCAGTTCTGGGTCCGGTTCTGTTCAATATCTTCATCAGTGATTAAGATAATGGCATACAGAGTACACTTATACAGTTTGTGGATGATACCAAGCTGGGAGGAGTTGCAAGTGCTTTGGAGGATAGGATTAAAATTCAAAATGATCTGGAGAAATGGTCTGAAGGATATAGGATGAAATTCAATAAGGACAAATGCAAAGTACTCCACTTAGGAAGGAACAATCAGTTGCACACATACAAGATGGGAAATGACTGCCTAGGAAGGAGTACTGCGGAAAGGGATCTGGGGGTCATAGTGGACCACAAGCTAAATATGAGTCAACAGTGTAACACCATTGCAAAAAAAGCAAACATCATTCTGGGATGTATTAGCAGGAGTATTGTAAGCAAGACACGAGAAGTAATCCTTCCGCTCTACTCCATGCTGATTAGACCTCAACTGGAGTATTGTGTCCAGTTCCAGGCACCACATTTTAGGAAAGATGTGAACAAATTGGAGAAAGTCCAGAGAAGAGCAACAAACATGATTAAAGGTCTAGAAAACATGACCCATGAGGGAAGATTGGGGGAAAAAATGGGTTTGTTTATCTGGAAAAGAGAAGACTGAGAGGGGACGGGATAAGTTTTCAAGTACATAAAAGGTTGTTACAAGGAGGAGGGAGAAAAATTGTTCTTCTTATTCTCTGAGGATAGGACAAGAAGCAATGGGCTTAAATTGCAGCAAGGGAGGTTTAGGTTGGTCATTAGGAAAAACTTCCTGTCAGGGTGGTTAAGCACTGGAATAAATTGCCTAGGGAGATTGTGGAATCTCCATCATTGGAGATTTTTAAGAGCAGGTTAGACAAACCCCTGTCAGGAATGATCTAGATAATACTTAGTCCTGCCATGAGTGCAGGGGACCAGACTAGATGACCTCTCGAGGTCCCTTCCAGTCCTATGATTCTATGACAGCCCTTTCTCAGAAGAACATGTAATTCCTCTGATCTGGGGCTCCTGCTGCTTCCTGGTGAAGTCCTTCCGTTGGGATCAGGTTTCACTGAGACGTGGCATCCATCCTCCTTTTCAGAGCCTCTCCCACTCAGGAGCACATTTCCTTTCCCGGTGACCCCCCCCCCCACCCAGCTCCCCTGAGAAGTTTTCCCATTGAGAGCATTCTCTTTCTGTGTTCTGGGGACCGTTTCTCTTCCCCGAAGTCTATGTTGTCTAGGGAGAGCCCTCTGGGAGCAGCTGCCTAGCCAGCTCCCCTGAGGAGTTCATTCCCTGGGTACTTCCTGCCTGAGCCCATGCCATCCTTCATAAGGCCTAGGTTTTCCTTAACTGATTAACTACTGCCCAGCTGCTTAGGTTGTCTGTTATTCCCAGATGGGTCTGGGCTGGCTCCTCTTCAGCAGAGCCTGGCACAGGTAGGCTGGGAGCTGACTGCCTTTGGGGCCAGCTGCCCTGTGCCATGCGCTCATCACCCCAGTATCGGAGCACCTCACAGTCATAATCCTCACAAGACTCCTGGGAAGCTCTGAAGGCTTATCCTCTTTCACAGACAGGGAACTGCGGAACTAGATAGATTAAGTGACTGGCCTGAGGTGTCAGAATGGATCAGTGGCAGAGCTGGACATGGAGTCTAGATCTCCCAGGTCCTAGTCTAGCACCCCGTCCGCCTGACCAGCCTCCCTCTCTCACATCTCTATTCCTTATCCCCTGGCCAGAGAGAGCAAGAGATCAGTCCAGAGAAAGTTTATCTGGAGATATGAGGCGTGATCCATTTACACCAGTGTAAACCCAGAGGAAATCCACTGAAGTCCCTAGAATTACACTGGTGTAAAACTGGTGTAAGTGATGGGCGAATCTGGCCCTAAGAGCTGTTACTGTATAATGCAGCGACCGTTCTTCAACCTAGTGTCCTCTTGGGCCTGGAGCTGGGCTGGATTTCCACAAACACCGTTCAGTAACCGCAGACGCAGTGACCCTTTGGCCCCGTGTCAATCAGCCACTATTCAATATTGGCAGCCACAGAAATACCCAGTAGGGACTCACCATGGGCACATGGGTCTTATGGCTGTCACCGGGATATTGCTCCTTTTCCTAGGCGTCTGGTTCCCTGTGCGTGCACTGGGCAGTCTGGCACAGCCGTCTGGGACAGCCTAAGCTAGGTTTCTGGTACTTTGTTTTCAACAGGCTGCATGCAGGGAGGTTTACCAGCTCAAGGGTGGCATCCACAAGTACCTGGAAGAGTTTCCGGATGGGTTCTACCGGGGGAAGCTGTTTGTGTTTGACCAACGTTACACCATCTCTGCCAATGAAGATGTCATTGCAGGTAGGGCCATCACGTCTCAGATCACAGAACGAGAGCTGTCAGAGTCACCCCAGAGCCCTCTAGGATAGAGGCTCGCATACTGTGGCCTGGGGAGCACCCGCAGCAGAGAGCAGGCTGGGCTCAGGGGTGCTGGCCTTGCTGCCTTGTTTCCAGCTACTGAATTGCTTTAAGGACAGCTAAAAATCCATGGAATGCTGTAGAAGTGCAGGACTCACCCCTGCGGCGCCTCCTGCTGGTTGTCCTTGGGAATTAGCTCTCCCAGCCTTGGAGCGCCCTCTGCAGGCAAGTGATCCGCCTTGCCACTGGCCCTGTGTCCCTCCCAGGACCCGGTGCCCCTTTCTCTGGGTGCTGCCCCTGGCAGTACCCCCACAGTTCTGGGTCTCCCCCTCCTAGGGGAACCCCCACCCACTACCCCCACTTCGCCTCAGTCTTGGCTACTGCCCAGTCTCCATCTAGTCCCCGTTCACTGGGGCAGACTGCAGTATCAGCCACTCATCACAGGCAAAGGGGTTCGGACCTGCTGCCTTGGCCTACCCCTGGGCTGCCTCCTGCAACGCAAGTGCCCCTTTGGCCTTACCCTAGGCCTGCAGCCTGGGGCTTTCCTAGGCCGGAGCTCCCCAGCTCCCTTGGCCTTTCCCCAGCCCTGCTCCACTCTAGGCACTTAGTTAAGCTCCCTGCAGCCAGGCCCTGCTCCCTCTCAGACCAGAGAGAACCTGTCTGTCTGCCCCTGGCTTCCCTGCCTTTATAGGGCCAGCTGAGTCTGGGGCGTGGCCACAGCTGAGGCTGCCTCTCAATCAGCCCAGCCTAAGGCTCCCAGCCCCAGCCCTCTCCAAGGGCTGGCTTTTAACCCTTTCAGGCCAGGAGCGGGTAACCATCCCGCTACAAATGCTTTCCTAATACGGCGTTTCTGACTGCCAATGGCTCAGGGATCTCTGTGATCAGGAGTGAGGGGGAGGTTGTCTGCACGCAGGGCTGGCAGGGCAGGGGCCACGAGATAATGTTTCTGTGACGTCATGGACAGCACAGCACACTGTCCCATGGGGAGGAGCCGCTAGTAATGTAGGTCGCTAGCACGACTAGCCCCTTGACACTGATCAAACCATTCTGAGCCAGCACAGCACTAGAGACCGAGCCACTATTCGGAGTCGGCTCCACTAACCAGAAAACCTGGTAGCAACAGCCCACGGGGTGCTTGGCTGTTCCTGGCTTTCAAGGCTTATGCAGCCCAGAGAATTGTATTTCACGCTAGTAAAAGTTGAAGATGGGTGAACACACCCTGGCTTTCCAGCTGGGCGGCGCTTCAGCTGTTCGGCTCCAGCTTGCTGGTGAGAGGTGACCAGCAAAGGACTTGGGCTAAGCTTGCCTGTGGCTTTTCTGCTACATCTGAAGAGGAGTCAGTGCTTTCTTATGCTCAGAGGATGGTGCTGCTGTCTCTGGATAGAGAACCACTTTGAGCTCAATCGCACCTGACTCGACTTATTCATTTGCCATAAGTTGATCCATCTGGAAGGTGACAGGCGTAGTGCTGGGAATAAAATGTCCTTCTGAGGCCCTGGCCGTGCTCAAGAGGGACTGAAGGGGAAGCGGCACGGCTCAGTGAGCAGCTGCCCGCTGGACTAGTCAGGTTAGCTCCCAGCAGTGCAGCGGAGTCGGGAGGAGAGCTGCTCAGTAAAGGACAAGTTGTGTGCTGGGTTGTTTAGGGATGTGTAGCCTTAGGACTCTGTCCCCCAAAGCCTGAGAGCAGATTCCAGATGCAGCCCTACCATTCCTGTTTGCACACGAGAGCCACAGGGAGGCCCGGGCCACTGCCTAGGGACAGCCAGCTCCTGCGCATGGGGCCCTGGATGGCAGGAAGGAGTTTGCCTTAAGCTTGTTAGCATCGAAATCAAAGTAAAAAGCCCCTTTTGTGGGCAGGGGCTAGTTCTCATTCTGACGAGGAAGGGCAGGGAAGCAGGGCCAGAGTGAGACTGCAATACCCTGGAAGATGAAGGGTCACCATTTGAATGAATTTTGGCAGCCCATTCAGCCCAGACTGCAGGACATTGTCAAGGCAGAGCTGGATTGCCTAGCAGGAAAGCACAGTACCCCAGTGCAAGTGGGATAAACAAGGCAGGATGGGTTTTAACTCCACTTCTCCTCTCCCCAGAATGCAGGTACTGCAGGACGCTCTGGGATCAGTACAAACTGTGCTCCAGCCTGCACTGCCGGCAGCTCGTCCTGACCTGCCCAAGCTGTCGAGCGAAGGGACTCACGGCTTGCTGCCCCGTTTGTCAGGAGAAAGGGCTCAAGCTGGCTTCAAACCCTTCTGGACGGATGGTCAAGGAGGAATGTGACTGCACGGACAGACGGCAGCGGGTCCCAGTCAAACACATGTAAGAGATGCACAGGAAAATGTTAGACATTCAATAATATACACTCACATTCTAGGGCATGGGGCTTCCGAAGGTGGGTGCCCGCTTCCCAGTTATTTTCATTGGATTTGTACATTGAGACCCCTGAGGGGGCTTTGAATCGCTCAGCCCCAGTGTCTCTTTAGCATTTGACAGTGAACCATGAACTACCCCCTGGCCAAGTGTAAATTAATGGAGCATCAAACACCACAGTGGTGCTACAGGATTCCTCCCACTGCAGCAAAGTTACTGTTCTGCCTCCCACAATGTGATGGGCGCCAGGGAGAACTTGATGATTACAGCACATGCCATGGGATTTGGCCACTCACAACCAAGCAGGAGCCAGAAGGTGAAGGAACAAGCAAGGTCTGTGCTGGCTTTGCCAGCATCATTGAGCCATGTGTATCCTGGGCCCACCCCACAGACTCTGCACGGGCTAGGGAGATGGAGGCAGCAGGTTTTTAATCACTGGGAACAGAAGCAGACTGTGGTTGAGGCTATTTTCCACATAAACACCAGCAGCCAGTCTTCTCTCCCTTCCACCAGTGTAAGTCAGGCTAGCTACACAAGTCCCTGGTTTCACACTAGCGACCAGCAGGTGTGAGACCAGACACTGGACCCACGACTTCATCAGAGCAAAAGCTGGAGACACTCAATGGCCATGTACAGCCTCAGGCATGTTCATCTGATGGGGCATGTTGTGTGGGAAGAGGGAGAAGTATAACCCACTCACTGCCCCTCTTTCGTGGCAGTCAGTGTCCATGTCCTACCATACGGAAGGGAATTCACGTGACTGAGTTTTTAAATGTCCAAGATCCAGCCCTGAGCCCAGGACTTGCATTGTGCTGTGTGTGCTGCAGAAAACTGGCACGGTTCTGAAATGCATTGAAATGCAGCCATTTGCTGAGGAAAGCACAGGGGCATGATGTAAATAGTAATGAGCACCGTAGGAGTGGTGGTGTGTGGAGTCCCGACGTGATTGTGTGCAATGGACACACGAGAGCCGTGCAGCCCGAGGGGGTTAAATGCATCTCCATGGATCCAGAGTGGTACTGCTACACTTATTGGCATGGACTGTGTAGTTCTGCTGCTGCTGTTTCCCCTTTGAAACGTATGCCCCCATCTGTACCGGTAAAGTCAGTGGCTAGGTCCTGACAATGGCTTTTAAAAAACTCTTTGCTCAGTGTCACAGGGTCTGCTACTCACTGCTCGGCAGCGCCTCCTTGTGGCTCTTCTGGGGAACTAGCTCGCCACTGTCTGGCGGTCGTTCAGCCTGTTGCCTCTGTCACTTTCACTGCAGCCCTTTGCTCTCTGCAGCGCTGCTCCTTCATGGCTTAGCCCTCTGGTCAGGTCACCCTCAGTCTCCCTTCCTCAAAGGCTCAGGCCGTCTCCATCTCCAGTGCACTGCCTGCGCCACTCCCGCACGGGCTGGTAGGGGAACCTAGGCCTGCCCTCTACACCAGTCTCCAATCCAGGGACCCTCAGCCCAGCATCTCAGGTCTGTCCCTGTCACCCTTTACTGCTCCTCCTTCCCTGGGGCTGTGTCCAAGCCTGCCTTGGTCACACGCTACTGTCCCACTTGTACCAGGGAGGGTGCCTGCAGGCTCACCTCCCTGCAACCCCCTCCTCCCCTACCTGTTCCTGCCCGGGTGGGCTGTGATCTCCACCAGGCTCACTGCCCCCGTAGCTCCCCAGCAGGTGCAGCCTAAGGCTCCTTGGCCTCTCTTGCCACTTGACCCCATCCATGCTAGTGTGGGGGGATGCCCCATCACACTCCATTTCTACAGTTGCTTATTGTCAGTTACAGCCATTTTATTTTCCATGCGGGCTGTAAAGGGACCTTTTCCCTTTCCAGAGCGGGGGGGGAGGAAGGCATTGCAGCAGACTTAGATTTGATGTTAATTTAATGCACTGGTTGTGTTAAATCCCACAGCAAGGCCTGACTTCTCTGACATTGTTCCCATGACTACCTGCTCAACAACTGCCGGGGTGCTGCTTTGTGTTCCCCAAGCTGGGCTTTCAAACCTGCTTTAAGCTCCACTGTGAGACCCTTCCCCAGAGCTGATATTAGGTGGTGATGATAATGCAGGGGCTGAGACCAAGCCTCTGATGTGACTAATGAGGCCCACTGACAACACTGGCTTTTGGCAGGCCCCTATTTCCCTTGGTAGCTGGTGTCCCCAGCCCTGGGTCGATGCTTGTTTGCTTGCAGCACCTTTCCCAGGTGTGTTGGTGCGCTGGCCTAGGTGCAGCGTCCTGCCTTCAGGCACACGTTGCATTCCTAGCCTACATCATTGCCACTAGCTGTGGTTGGGAACAGGAGCCCACAACTGGTATGTTGCACTGTGGTATTTTTCAGGTGTTCTGTTTTAAAGCCCCCGACCAGCTGACAAACCTACCGCCTAGATGACCATCCTGTAACTCCCACAAGAGGCCCTGCCTGGGTCCGTTTTCAGTACAAATGGGAAACCGTGTCAACGGTATATTAGTGTGAACTTCTAAAACTGCCACGGGGACCCATCATCCTTGGCGCTGCCACAGAGCTGTACGAACACTCTTCATCCGTGCGCGGGCTGCTCTTATCCCTTTGGAAACCTCTGAATGGCAGCTGGGCTTCCGCTCATTCCTAAGCAAGCAGCCTGCTAACCAGGTGCTGGTCTATGGAGGGTTTCTGGCCCCTAGGAGGGGCTCTGCCCCCAAACCACACTGCGTCCTGCCCCCTAGTGTTGAGAAAGTCTCCCCATTACCCATGCCAGGGGTGAGATGGCCAGGTGGGTCAGGCGCTGGCGAAGGAGGCTGGACCAGTGCTGAGTAGGACATAGGCCCAGACCTGCTACAAGGCAGGAGAAGCAATAGGCTCCTTTATGCAGGGGGTGAGGTGGTTCCAGTGCTTTGTGGGGGAGAAGCAGGAGACTGGGGGATTGCTATTCTGGAGCGGGAGGGAGCAGGAGGTAAGGGGGGGCAGCTGCCCCCATGACTGTTTCACTCATCTCCAGCATAGAAGGCAAGTACATTCCATGTCCTCCATATTCTAAGGGTTAGTGCATAGGCAACCCTGGGGTCTGCCTGTGTGCTGGTCTTTGTTATCTACATCTAAAGAACCACTGACACAACTTGAAACGCTGACTCGCCGTTTAGCTGACTCAGCACAACTGCTGTGACTCCTCTGAGACGGTACCTTAGCTCCCTGGCTCGGCAGTTCCAAGCAGGAGAGTCTGCGCACTAGCAGGCATGGTGCTCGCTGTAGGGAGGGATCCCCTTTTCCTCAAGAGCTAGTGACCATCATTACTACTCGACAGCACAGCTGGTACAGAGCCTGATGCTTTTCCCCGGGCAACTGTGCAACGCCTTGCTCTGCTTGGTAAGCGCTTGCTCACTTACCCATGTAATTCCAGCACAGTCACCAGCATGAGTATGCCTGTCACACACAAGCCCAGAGTCCTCCCATATTATGTTTCAACTGCCAGGGGAGTTTAGATGCTACTACAGCCTGGAAAAGGGACAGGTTATTGCTTAAAATCCTCCTCTCAGGTCTGCAGGGCAGGGTCCCTCTTAGCGCATTCTGCACTGTCCCCACACACCCAGCTTCCCCCTGGGCATCAGGGCGAGCAGCATTTACCGTCCGGGGGAGAACAATTTCCATTCCCCTGAGTCAGTGGGAGAGCAGACACTGATGCTGGGTTGGTTCTGTGCAAATCTGAGCAGGCAACTTTGCCGCTAGCTATCGAGTGGCATCTGGCCTGATGTTTTCATTGATTTTTCTAAAGCCTTTGGGAGGCTAGCATTGGGCTTATCGTGCCGCTTTCTGGTTTTGCAATATTCTCTAATCTTTTGTGTAGGGTTTTACAAAACACTGCACTGAAGCATTTTATTTGTGATTTCGGACACATTTATTACCATTTGAAGAGCAACAATCAAACACGTTTGTATTTCCCACTCAAGGTTAAAGTGATATAGCAAATCAGGGCCAAAGCCTGCAATCCTGATTCATGCAAAAATTCTGTTGAAATGAGTGGCCGTTTTGCTGTACCCCAAGGCACAGACTGCAGAACTGCACTGGGAACAGCAGCAGGCAGAGGTTGTGTATTAGATTGTTGGGATGGATTCTTTAGTGTATAAACAAAGGCCACCATCTGGCAATGGCTCTGCATGGGCAGACTTCCTGCTGTGCAGCCCAGGCTCCCCCTGGAGTCAGTGGGATTGAGGTGGGTTAATGGAACTCACTGCATGCTCAGAGGCTGCATGTGTCCCTAGAAAGGTAATGGGGTTTTATCACCACACAAACCCAACTGCCTGGTGTGTTTATCCAACTCCACTCAAATGGCATCCTGGACTACATGGATTCACAGGCAGGGTATTTGCAAGTAATTTCTTTATTAGGGTGCACTATTCAGAAATTTGGGATGTTGGTAAAATAAAATCTCTAGCAGAACAAGAAGTTTTACAGATAAATAAAACGGTCATCCAGCCAGAAACCCAGAATTACGAGTCAGGGCTCCAGCACGACCCAGTAAAAGCACAGGAGGCACATTTCCAGAGAAAATCCAGGGGGAAATCCTGCCCCTATTGAAGTCAATGAGAGTTTGCGCTTGACTTCAGTGGAGTCAGGATTTCATTCCCAATCTCTTAAAGCAATGGTTTTACATATCCATGCAAAAGGAGACAGGAAGATTTTAACGTCCCATCTAATACCTACTGCTCTGTTTTTATGGAGCCATTACTTTATAATCAGTGGCCTTACGTTCCTTTCATTGGGTGGGGGGCAATAAAAAAGACGAATTCTTTTGGGGGAAAAATATGGGTGCTTTTAACATCCTGTCTGCAAATAAAATCAGCAAATGATGGTAATTAATTGTAATTTACAAGTCCTCAAAAGGGATGGGATAGCATTGTGGTGGGAGAGTAGAAATGCTTGTCAAACAGATAAGCAAGTTGAAACAATAAAGTATTTTTTTAAATACTTATGCAACTTGTGTAGAGCAGTAATTTTTTCCACTCATGCATAACACATCCTAAATATATCTGAAACACCACACAGGAAATCCTAAGCGAAATTAAGTCATGGGTGAATTAACAGTCACTTTTGTGCTGTGATGTATTCTAAACCAAGACTGCTTAAAATTGGCAACTTGTAACTGGACTGACTCGGCTTGACTCTAAAGAAAACATCATTAGTGATATTTGATCAAATCGTCACCTACAATCGCTAGTTAATTTAAACCTTTAGTGCATAATTATGCAACACAGAACTGAGGCACCACAGATATTTTGTGCAGGCACTTTGCCTTCGGATTTCCAGGGTATAGCACAAACCATCAGGCACGATCTTCACAGCCGGGAACTACACCCCAATTCGGCACTTGGGATAGAAAGGCCCATTCAAGTCTGCAAGTCTCCTCTTCCTCACTGAAAAAAAACAGGAACAAGGGTCAGTCAAGGCAGACGCTGCACACGTGGATAGCAGGTGTATCCACAGACAGTTTAAAACCAGAACAAAACTCATGTGATGGGAAACGTTTGGGGGGTTTTCCATAGATTTTAAGGCCAGAAGGGACAACTAGATCATCTAACCCGACCTCTTGTATAGCTCAAGCCAGAGAATTTCACCCAGTTACGCCGGCATTGAGCCCAATAACGTGTGTTAGGCTAAAGCATCTCTTCCAGAAAGGTATCCAGTCTTTATCAGAAGACATCAAGAGATGGAAAATCCACCACTTCTCTTGGGTGTCTGTTCCAGTGGTTAATCACCCTCATTAAAAATTTGTGCCTAATTTTTAATTTGAATGCATCTGGCTTCAGCTGCCATCCATTGATTCAGGGTTGAGATTTTCAAAGCAGTCCAGAGGATTTAGCCTCATCTCTTCTATTAAAGTTTATGTGTGACCTTGAGAACACAGACCAGGGTCTTTAACATCAGTTTAAAAATCTACGTTGTTTAAAAAAAAAAGCCCCAAAATTGAAGTAACTATCATCGACTTCTAATGGGGACAGAGTTCATAGGGTTCTGTTAAACAAGAGTTTGCTAGCTCAGTTACATCCCTCCCTGATTGCTTCTCGTCAGGTAGAGATCAGCATATAAGAGGCAGGGACAGAATAGCTGGTGAATGCCTGCAGCTGCACAAGGGGAGTATGGCTTCTTATCCAGTCCTTATCTTTTACTGCTTCCTTATAGCTTAATACAGGCCTTCCTACCTCAGAGAAAGTGTCCCTGCCCAAACAGGCTTTCCCTCATTAATCTCTGAGCTACGTTTTTCTGCTCCTCTCCACACATTAGTGAGCATTTTCAGAGAAGGTTTTAAAGTGGATACATACACAGTTTATTTATTTGAAATAAATACAGAGGAAAAGAAAAAGCAGCCAGAAAAGGGAGATTGCAGAAATTAGCTCATAGGATGAATGTAAAAATCCTTCCCTCCCTCTAGCATGCTAGATCATACAAAGTACCCTGAAGAACAGGAGTGCCTGCAGCTGAGCCAAGAGCAGTAAAACAGAAGCTAGAGAGAGTAAAAACAAGTTTGAGTTGAGCCAGGTGGTGGCAGCGGAGAGCACAAGTGGTGGAGCACAGATAGAGAGCTATTGCCAGTAGGGAAAAAATTCTGTCGGTACTTAGACATCGTCCAGTTGCAGAGCGGAGAAGTTATGCCAGGGGCCATCAGAGCGATGTAAACGAGCTGCAAACAAGAACCAAACCAGAGATCTTCTGTACAGTTCTCATGATCAAGGAGGCAAAATATACAACAGCTGCATGACAGGCAAAGTCACCAACTTATCAACCAAAAAGAAGCAGGAGTGAAAAATAAAACGTAGTTCCTTTTTTCTGATTAACATGGTGATGTGCATACATTCCAAGTTTATGAAAACCAGCTCTGATCCGAGAGTCAATGAGCAGTGAATTTCTGGTTGAACATGTGGCTTTTATCCATTTACTAGTTCCTAGTAAGGAATCTATTTGTCAAAAAAAAAAAAAAATCCTCCATCTTTTTTATTGTCTGTATTGTCACAGACATAATTGTTGACAGGTATTTTGAAAAAAATTACCAAAATAATTGAAACCGATGTGATTATATTGGGTTATTTTGACAAATAAAATATGCAAAATTTTACAGAATTTTAAAATATTGTGCGCCAAATTTTCCATTTTTTGGTGCAGAATCCCCCCAGGAGTATTACACTGCCCTGCGAACAGCAGACTAGCTGGAGATAAAATCCAGTCCATTTGTTTAAAAACCTCAACAGGTTGAACACACACACAAAGTAATATACAGAAATCTGCAAGGAACAGAGAGCACCAAGTCATAAGTCAGTGCTTTTCAGCACAGCATTCCTTAGTCTCATTTAGAGGTACACCTCTACCTCGATATAACGCTGTCCTCGGGAGCCAAAAAATCTTACCGCATTATAGGTGAAACTGCGTTATATTGAACTTGCTTTGATCCGCTGGAGTGTGCAGCCCCGCCCCCCCCCCCGGAGCACTGCTTTACCGCGTTATATCCGAATTCATGTTATAGCGGGTCGCGTTATATCGGGGTAGAGGTGTACTCTAATTCAGTAGCTTTTTAAATTGAAGTAGACTCACGTCGTAAAGGACACAAAATGGTTAGACTATGCTGGTGAACTATGTTAAGAGCAAAATATACGGCTCCAGTTTATTGCTGTTTATTCAGGGCAGACATTTATATGGTAAATCTTTTCCCAGGCACCTCCTCTTAGCCAGTCTGTCTAGGGAGCTGTTTGTTAATTTCATCCTTGTGTAAGCTCACTAGAAATGAGGTCGGTTCTTTTACTTGTGTTCCAACAGGCTCCACTGGGTACTCTTCCAGTTCAGCATGTGAGGCTGTTGCCAAGCAACTGTCAGTCAGCTAGTGCCCACAGCACTACCCAGATCAGTGAGAAATAATGGGGAAGTACTGTCATCGCATTCAGTTCTTTAACTTCAATTGGGGTGCCCAGATCGAACTGGGAACAGAATTTGGCCTTGTACCCCTAAACACACCTGATTCGTTCAAAAGAATGTGCCAAACTTGTCAGTCTTCAGAGCTTGACTCTTCTACTTGCCCTTTAAAGCGGGGATGGAAGCAGTGTTTGTGGAAGGGTGGCAGCCCAGGAAAGCGAAGGGCTCTGCTAATCCAGTTCAGGGCAGCAGCCGCCCGGGCTTCCCAGCACTAACCCTGCCAACTACGGCTTAACAAAGCACATGGAAATGCCAAACTCCCCAACACTAGAGCTCACTGCCTCTGAGTATCACTGGAGACCCTGTTTGGTTAAGGCCAGATTCTGCCACCCTTGCCCTGCACAGCATCTTACTCTGGACCAGAAGCCGATTGTCTTATTCACACTGAGTAGCGCTTTACTCCACCACCAGCCCAATGACCGAGTGGAACGGCTGGTGGAGCCGGTGTCTCTCAGCAGGAGAAAGCAGGAAGAGAATCAGGCTCTCCCCTAGCAAGCACCAGCCCCTTCCGATTCAAGTGGGTGAAATTTCACCTGACTTGTTTATTTCCATAGATGCTCGGTCAGTGTGCCCGCCAGAGAGCAGGAGGGGAAACACGCACCAGCTACATTCACAGCTGATGGGAATTGCCGAGAAGCACACCTCTGGGGAGCGCCAGCACCACGGACTATGGGGAGCATGGAAGAATGCACGCAAGCAGGCGTGTAGGCAGACTCACCAAGATCGTTGTTGTTCATCATGGCGTTAGATGCACGAAGCCGGGGACCTTGCTGTGTAAAGTGATACCCGAACTTCAAAAGGGAGCTATTTTTTTCTAACATGTTTGCAATCTCCATTTCCACCTTGTTGCCCAGCGGCTGGCTCTTTATTAAAAGAGAATGGAAAAGCAGGTTACAACTGAGGGCTGCCCTGTTATTTTGGTCTTTGATCCCCTGACTGCCTCCTGCTGACTCTACAGTACATCTCACAGTGCCAGCAAACATTGCACGGGGCCTCCCCCCACACTGCCCGGCCAGAACCTTCCGCACAGCGCTCTACAGCTCGGCCTCAGGGAGTTACTCCATTAGCTGGCAGTAATCCTCTATGTGGACTAGCCACTTGTCAAGCCATCTACACATACTATCCCCCACCACCAGTTGTTGGTTTTTTAGAGTGATTGTCTAGAAAACATCAGGTGAGCCAAACCCCACATTTTCTGATACAAGGCCCCCCAACAGAATATTTTTTATTCAATCTAAGAGGTCCAGTTGGGGTTTGTTTTACCTGGTTGTCAATTTTGAGCTCGATCAGTGAAGTATTGTGCTGGAGTGCTTCGATCAGAGCCAGGATCCCGGACCCAGAAATGAAGTTGGATTCCACATTCAAGCTCTTCAATACACCGTTGGCTTTTAACATCTCAGCCAGTGCCTACAGTCACAAATGGGAGAGCATTGGTATTGAATAATAAATAATAGGAAGAGTGGCCCAGTGCACTAGCCTGGGACTCTGGAGACCCGAGTTCAAGCCCCTACTTCTCCACAGGCTGCCTGTGACACCTTGGGCAAATCACTTAGTCTCTCTGTGCCTCAGTTTCCCATCTCTGGCATTTTTCATACAATATAAAGGTACAAAAAAGGGCACCAAGATTTTTTTCCTCTTTGCAGGTTGCTTTAAACAATTTCTCTTGCAAGACAACAATTCCACTTACAACCTTCCCACAGCAATTAGCCTGTCATCACACACAACAAGGTCTGGTACTTACATAGGCTACCGGGTCATTGCTTCTTGTTCCTATTATGCTTAACTTCTTTACATAGGAATTATTCTTCAGTGCTTCAGCATATGCTTTTAAAGTCGGTATGGGAATATTCTGTAAAAAGAAGGCCCAGAAAGGCAGTCATCTTTATTCAGATTCCCGGTACACTCCTTAAACAAATATTTTAAAAAGGAGCGTGCACTGGGTGGATGAAATACAACAAGCTTTCTTTATAGTGGAAATGGCACAACTGGATTATTTAGGAAGAGGCAGAAAGCTAAACCTAGATCGTAAAGTAGTGCTTGTAGTCAGCATGGCCCAAGCAGCACAGGAATGCCTGATCCCAGCGCTGCCACTCACTCACTCACTGCCTGGATTTGGGCAAGTCACCTCACCACATTTTGAGTTCCCCACTTGTCAGATGCGGCCAGTACTCACCGGCTCACCTCCCTGGGCATTGTGGGGCTTTATGGAGCTAAGGTTTACAGAGTGCTTTGAGTAGGTAAAGCACAGGGTGTACATGAGTTCTACTATTGCTATCGCACTGCACCAGTCACCGACAAGTCATGGCTGGGAAATAATCGCCCTCCTCAGGCCTGGATCCAGTGAGCGGCCTGCATGGCGCTTATGCCGGAAGGCTCCACTTGCAGGATCACAGCCTGACCCTGACAGTTAAGCAGCTCGTGGAGGGGCAGTGTATCCTCAACTCTCAGAATCAGGCCCACTCTTCTCCCTCCCTCTGTCACTGGTGACTTTCGGAGGAGAACTAGGAGAGTTTGGCAAGTATCTGTGTGCCCGTTCCGAGCTCTCACAAGCTAAGAGTATTTTTTTCCCATTCAATACTTTACAAACCCTTTTCAGACGGTGATAACTTCCAAGTGACTCTTTAAAATTTCAAACTGACCATTTCCATAGTCCTCAATGAGGAGTGCTTCCCCGGGATCACTGGCGTGCTATGGCTTTAACACGACTATTCGTATGCCCAGCTGTGAATAGTGCAGTCATGGATCTTTGGCCATGTTTTCAGAAGTGGCACTTCAGATCATTAGTCCAACTAGAGACGTCTCGAGAGCCCCTGCCACTTGTGAGTCAGGCTCCATTCCAGGGGTCTCAAGTTGCACCCCCAAGTCACAAGTCACTTTTGAAAATGCAATCCTTTATCTATGAAACGTTGCAACTGGCTGGATGTGCACACGTGCCAGGGTTTTAAGGACTGTGCGCATGCAGTTAATGGCACCAGCATTGCTAACTGCACACACAGGAACCTCATCTGCATTTATCTGAATACATAATCACTCAAACACATACAGAGGGCATAGGCCGGCAAGGAAGGGAGCTGAAGCCATTATCATTCAGCTGGCGTGTATGTATTTGGTGCTGTGTGTGCATTTAAAAGGTGACCTACAAAGCTGTGCATGTGCCCTGATTTGCTTCTTTATGGGAGGTCTGTGGAAAAAAGAAAGAGCTGGTAGGGAAGAGTGGGTAGTTCTGCTTGTTTTAACTTGAGTATTTGGTTTTACCTTCCATGGTTGGACTGGACTAGAAAACAGTAATGGGTGCTTTCCCAGCCGCCAAACGAAAACAGCAACGAAGGCATGTTGCCCATGCACAGGAGTTCAAGAGAAGTTAACAGAAACCAAGTTTTTAACAGCCTGACTAGAACTCCTTTCCTTTAGCAGGTTTAAGGAGAAATATAAGTATATACAAGCACAATTTCTTGTCCTTTGCATGTCACCTTTAACAAGAAAAGCCCAGAGAAAACCCTAGATTTTAATGAGCCATGTCAGGTAATGTAGAATGGTGGTTTCTCACAGCACCTTTTAACTTCACAGCCATGCACAGATGCCTATATGAGCTCTTTCATTACAAGCCATACCACATCGTTCAGTACCACACAGCCTTTGGCAGACAATACAGTATCATTAGCACAAGAGGGCAATGCGAAACACTGTCTTTTGTGTAATTAAATTACCAGCCTTAGTGTTACATCAGTGTAATTTTTCTGCACAGAGTTTTACTAATAAATTCCTGCAGTGAAGCAGCTAACATTGACCTAGGGACTCCGTGTGTATTATTTTGAAAGCTCCTTGCTCTGCCAGTCTTGCACCGTGTTTGTACATGGCATCTAGCCACATGCACTGTTAGCTTTCCCTGTAAATACAATGCAAACCCAAAGCACAGCATTTTTTCTGACTGTAGGTACGCTCTGATGACAGACTGTGAAACCCCCTCAAAAACATCCTAAAACAACCCAAAGCCAGATTCTGATGCCTAACTTCTGTTGAGCAGTGCCTTATTCTGCAAGCAGCCCTGTCGATTTCTACATAAGCAAGGAGTTCAGAATCTAACCATAACTTGTCCTTTTGCCAATAGTGGCCAACACAGGCTGCTGTGACAATAACCTATTCTTCTGCACAGCAAGGTGTGCTTGGCCTTTGTCCTCTAGATAACACACATCCTGTCTCCCTGTGAAGTGTTAATTGCCGTAGGAAGGGGAAACTGAATACCCTAATATTATTAAGGTTGACTTCCTCGAGTTTAGGGTCATTGTTCTTTACTCGTTCCAAAGTTTCTTCTACATCTGTTGAATTGGGTTCTTCATCAGGAACTGGTTTATATTGCGTGGGCTTAATCACACCTGCAATTAAAAAGCAACATGAAAAAAATCAGATGGGGTGGAAAGACACTTTCTTTAGGCCACTCTCAGTTTTGGGCTGTTTTTCTCCTGTCATAAAAAGGACACGAGGAAAGGAGGAATCAACTGGTTGATGAAGGTTCTAACTGAAGATATCAGGTCACATAAGTAACCTTCATCTGTCTTGTCTGTTTAGACTGTAAATTTGTCAAGGCAGGGACTAGTTCTTACAATGTATGTATTGGGATGGGACCCCCCATCACTAAAAGCTACTACAGCCCCTCTGCATCTAGGGGCAGTAACAACTCACATCCTCTGAGAATTGGCACAGACGACACCCTACAACACACACACACCGGTGGGTTAAATACGTACAGTGCCTGGCGCAAAGGGACTCTGATCTCAGTTGGATCTTGGCTGTAACATAAGGAGAGGTTACTTACTTGTATAGTAACTGGAGTTCTTTGAGACGTTCTCTCTCTATGGGTGCTTCACTTTAGGTGTGCATGCACGTGTGTGCTTTTGATAGGAGATTTGTGGTACCAGTGTGTGGAGTCCGTACCTACGCTCTATATATCCTAGTGCCCCAATCTGAGGGCATATGGGAAGGACAGTCCCTCCGCTGCTCCAGTTCCTTCTCACCCACGAAACCTGGCCAGAAGCAAGGACTCCAAAGTAGAGGGGAAGGAGGGCAGATAGCGGAGCACTCATACAGAGAGAGCATCTCAAAGAACTCCAGTAACTGCATGTGACAATCAGGGTCCTGACACCCCAAGGGGAGAACAGAGTCTGAACCCCAAAGAATAAGCTGTTGAATCAACTGGTTTTATGCAACTGTAAAAGTGTATCAAGTAAAGTCTTTTATGAAACGGTCTGAACATGATGATCATTATGAGACTTGTACACAGCCTGGGGTTCTGTATGTATTTCTGTCTATAGAATAGTATGCTCATGGCCGGCACTGCAATGCCAAGTACGCCTCGCAGCAGGGAGCGGATCCTCCCTAGCTAGCTGCTCACATGAAGCTTAGGCCTTGTCTACACTACACAGTTTTGTCGATAATAGTTACGCCGCTTTAATTAAACTACTGTTGCATGTCCACACTATGCTCTTTGTGTTGGCAGAGTGCAACCACACTAGCAGCTCTTGCATCGACACAGAGAGCAGTGCATTGTGGTAGCTATCCACTGTGTAACTGGCTGCAAGGTGCTTTGGGAAGCGTTTGCAATGCCTCATGGGGCAGGTACAGCATCACATAAGGGGAGGGATAGCTCAGTGGTTTGAGCGTTGGCTTGCTAAACCCAGGGTTGTGAGTTCAATCCTTGAGGGGCCATTTGGGGATTGATCCTGCTTTGAGCAGGGGGTTGGACTAGATGATCTCCTGAGGTCCCTTCCAACCCTAATAATCTATGATTCTATGATGCAGGTTTCTCAATCCCATTGTTCCATGGGCATCCAACTAGATTGCCAGCTGCTTTTCAGCCCAAGTGTGTGGTGGGGAGAGGAGGGGTTGAGTCTGTGATGGAGTGTGTGTGTGTGTGTGTGAGAGAGAGAGAGTGGAGTGACAGAAACAGTGTATGTGTGTGTTGGGGAAGTGTGTGAGAGATTGCAGGGGGAGTATATATGTGAGAGAGAGACACAGTGTGTGTTGAGGAAGTGTGTGTGTTGGGGGACAGTGTGTCGGCAAGCTGTCTCTGTAAGTTCAGACAGCAGCCTGAGAAACCAATCCTGGAGGAGAGGGACACCCTCCCACATCTGCCCCCGGCTCTGCACAGCACAGCCGTCTCTTTCCCACATGCAGCAGCCCGCTCTGCCTGCCGCCGATTCCACATTAATGGTTCTGTGATTCCCTCCAAGTTCTCCCACAGCCTCCGCTCTCACCGCTGAGGAATGTCAAAGCTTCAGGGAGCTTTGCAAGGGGAGGTAGCTAGATGCAGGGCAGCCGAGTTCAAAACAGTGAGCAGAGCGGTCACAGTGGGCATTGTGGGATACTGGGGGAGGCCAGTTATGTCGACATAAAGAATGTCTACACTGATGCTTTGTCACTTCAATTTTGCTGCAAAAAGCTCCATGCCTCTTGTCGAGGTGGTTTTATTTTGTCGGCAACCCCGCCAAAAGTAGTGTGTACACCACACCTCCACTGTTTTGTCAGCAAAAGCTGACTGTTGCTGACGAAATCGTGTAGTGTAGGCAAGGCCTCACTTCAAGTACCCACCCGTTGTCCAGCCAAGAAAAGACAATGGTGGACCATTAGAATTCAGTTAACTTGAAACTAAAAAAACAAACCCCGTCTTGGAAAATTCAGGCCTTGTCTACACTACAGAGTTTTGTTAGCAAAAGGCAGCTTTTGGCAGCAAAACAGTGGAGGTGTGCACACTGCAGTGCCTTTTTTGGTGACAAAACTCTTCAGTTTTGGCGACAAAATAAAACCATCTCGACAAGAGACATGGGGTTTTTAGCAGCAAAGTGCCAGTG